ACGCGTTTGCCTTGGTGGAGGGGACGCGGGGCTCAGAAGAGGGGATGAGGACGCGCAAGCCGTGGCCGCGGATCGCAGAGTTGGAGGACGTCGACGTCGACATGATGAGAGGGCGGAGGTTGTGAAGATGACGAGATGGTTTGCGGGTGCAGGTGAGCGTTGACTGTCGCTTTGCTCTTTTGAGCGGGGAGCTGGTGGACAGATGCTGCTCGCGTGTCGACTTTATACAAGCACGGCTGGCCCCTCTCTACACGCGAGATGCACATTCGTCGCGGTGCACCTGTGGGCCATCGCGCAACGTCTCGCGCGTCCGTGGCGCCATGCACCGCGTCCCTGTTGTCGCTGAAACGCGAGATGCGCCGATGTGGTGGGGGGCAACGATTCTTCAGCGAGCAAGCTTCGGACAGCATCAGGATCAGCCCTCCCCTCCGAGCCTCGTTCGTGTCCCCAGTCGCGCTGAGCTCCCACAGTGCATCCTGGCCGAGTGCACACATCAGCGCGACAATCGCGCGAGAGCACTCGAGCGCATTGTACCCGTGATCTGGTGGCATGGCGGAGTGCGCACTGCCCAAGTGAGCTTTTGTAAACCCTATCAACTCGCATCCGAGGAAGCCGCGTGTGGGCGGTGCAGTGGTGAATGTACTCGGCTGGCGGTCCGCCCGGGGGGCCAGTGCGAGTCCAGAGGTCGTGCTCAGGTAGAGTCTGGACTTTCACTCTTGCTACGGAGACATGGAATCGCTGATTCCAGCTCAGACTCGACTCGGAAGGAACGCGCGTGCCATGACGTGCGCATATGGAACCTGAGGCCTGAACGGTCTTCTGGTTGCAGGTGAACGGATGGCGCGGAGCGCGTGTCACTCCGTTCATTTGTCCAGAGATCGTCAGTGTGAGCGTACCTTGGAGTCGTCGATTGGCGAACAACAGCAATTATGCGAGTCCCATTGCGCTGTCAAATACCCTGATCCGTCCTGGACTCGCATCTATTCCAGTTTCTAGGTTGAGTTGCTTGACAGCCTACAGGAGCCCTCGTCGCTGTGAACACCAACTGGTACGCCCCTGTTCATGTGTATCGGATGGCCATTCCTAGGAGATTTCGGGCGGCGTTCCCTCATGATGCTCGCACTGGCGCACGTTGTGGTTTACATCATGCGCCCATGGCGAGATGATCACAAAGCTATGGTGAGGATCACTCCATTTGCCATAGCATTGCTAGGCTAGTGACGACGCTCTTGTTCACTGAGATGCTCAAGCTCGGGCTGTGCAAGGTCGGTGGTCGTCCTACATACAACAACCTGCACGCATGGGGACGAACATACAGTACCCGACTCGCCCCATAAGATGGAAAGGTCCCTTCCTTCCTTGTCTCCTTGTTCTCCCCGTCGTCATGACACAGTGGTTGACACTGAGTGCTCTCGAAGTATTGCTCTCAATGCATGCACACGATGGCAACGAATTGACACGACGACGCATACATCCTGCGTCAATTCGTCTCCAAAGTTAACCGTGATAGCCGCCTTGGTCAGTTCAAAAGTTCGCGCCAAGTTTGTTCAGACAGTCCAGTATCTTGCAATTGTAGCCAAGTGCTCACCACTGTCAGGTCTAGGTTAGGTTGAGTACATTTAGCATATTGGCTAACGACTGTGCTCTCCCAGCGTGCCCGCCGGAGTGCTGGGGTCCGGGAAAGTAATGACAAGCTGACCGAAGACTTTTCATACTACGGTATGTCGTAACCATGATTCCGCAGCAATGAATGGTCGACTGAGTGTCCGGTCAGTTTGTTCACACGTTAGCCTGACATGCCTCAAGTGCACACTGGTATTCACTGATCTTCCGCAGCGGACGTCGGCGATCCGAGTATATGAGTTGTATACACATCCCGGTGACAATCGGCTTTCGACTGACGGGCTCAGAGGACCAGCGCAGTAAGGACACAGCATTCAACAGCGAGATAAATAGACGATGAGCTGATGAGCTCGCCGTCGACATCGTCACCTATCGTTCCGTGGACGGCATTCAAAACAACAGTCACGCGCTGACCGGACGCCATGTGGGCCATCCTGTTGTCTTCTCTCTCTTTGCTCGGTATCACTGCCTGCAATTCCCTGGCGACCCCATTCAACAGAGCCGCGAGTGATGCTCCCGAATTGGCCGGACCCTCCATGCCTTTCAGTCCCGAGTGGCAATCTTGTAAGTCGCGCTCGCTTGCTTTAATTGCAATCGCTGATCTGAGCCCGAGACAGACTTCGAAGTGGCAGACGCCCTCCCGAACGTGACTTGGAGCTTGCCTCGCAGCTTCGCTGGAAACATTCCGGTGGGAAGGGCTGAGCATCCCAACAACACCCTGTTCTTCTGGGCGTTCGAGAAGGAGAACGGCTCGCTGACCGTCAGCGCGGGAGAACGCTCGGACAAGCCATGGGGTATATGGTTGAATGGAGGGTGAAGCAGTCCATTCGTCGCTTGTTTCACGACCGAGAATCGCTGAGACGCATGGTCTAGGCCCGGTTCATCTAGTTTTCTCGGGTTCGGGTTTGAGGTACGTTTCGTCTTGAAATATCGATAATGCACTCATGAACGATGACGGCGCAGAACGGCCCCATCAGGGTATCCCCTCTAGGCGGTTTTGTGTCGCCCAGTAACCACAGCTGGTCGAATCTCGCCGACTACTTCTGGGTAGACCAGCCAGTGTGAGTCTTCTGCTCTGATCGCTTGTCATTTAGTGACATTGATATAAATCCAGCGGCGTTGGCTATTCCACAGCCGAGGAAGGTGGCAACGGTACAGTGTGCTTCCACATGTCTCGTTCTCGGTACTGGCTAACACTAATTTGCAGTACACGACGAAGATGAAGTAGGACGTGACTTTGTGCGTTCGTCAGGACAGATAATCTGTACAACAGCCATTGACACCATCCCAGATGGGGTTCCTCGCGAACCTAGTAGAGGTCTTTCCGAGCCTCAAGACCCGGCCGCTCTATCTGACGGGCGAGAGCTACGCTGGGACCTACATTGTTAGTCCCTCCTGCATCACCATTCCCAATGGCGTCATACTCACGTGTACCTGCAGCCGTACATCATGAAGGCATACTTTAACCTGGAGAACCCTCCTGTCAACGTAGCGGGTCTCGCGATTGGCAACGGTGTGCTCGGGTCCCTAGCTGCATATTTTGCCCTTCCCACCGTGAGCACATCCAAGCATCAGTCCACTTTTGAGTCACGCTGACTTGGCCCGGCAGGTTTCGATCCTTGAGACGTATCCGCAGCTGATCGGGTACGATCCCGCTGTCTTCGAGTTCTTCCGCGAGCAGTACGTCTAGCTTACCATCCGACCCGCGTGCCCTCTCCGCATCCTCGCTGACCACCGTTCTCCGCAGGGAGCATCTCTGTGGTTATGATCTCAATTTCACGTATCCTCAGGCCGGCAAGTTCCCCAGTCTGGAGATCGAGCCCGGACCCGCGCTCTTCAGGTCTGCCCGCGACGACCACACCATGCGCCGCTCGATGGTGTCGGGCCTGGCTCATCTCATCGCTCGCACGCCAAGCACCGTAGGGCGGACCGCTGACTATACCGGAGGCACCCTTAAGCCGCGCTTTGTCCCGCCGACGTCGAACGGGACCATTAACCCTGAGTACGGCTGCGATATACTCGACGAGGCGCTGCACTATGCATTGGACAACGTCCCACCATGGAGTACGTTCCATCGCATGGTGCCTGTGGTGGTAACGATAGACCACGCTGACGATAATGTCATCTGCAGGCACGGGTAAAGCGCTATTCACGGTAAGGGGGATGACATAGTAGTCTGCCATATCAAGACTCACTGGTTACCTACGATGGGCGTTACGGCGGGCAGTTCTACGATGTATCCGATGGCCTTGCGTCCGCCACCCAGCTGAATGGCGTCGACTTCTTCAACGGTATGCGTGCACGCCTCTGTCTCTTCGTCGCGAACTTGTCGGCTGACGCTCGTGCTTGCAACAAGATCCTCGTGTCAAGAATGCAATACACGCGCCGAAGGACAAGGACTGGGCGGAAAGCAACGGATACGTGTTCCTTGGGTCCGAAGACGGTATAGATCCTAGTCAGTGTTGCTGAACTCGATGATGGTCATGGTATGTGCTGATCTTGGAGTCGTGCCCGGTTGCGGCAGGTCCCAAGTGCGTCCGTTTCTAACGTGCTGAGCATTTGAGTTGCAATCTGACGGGGAATGGCCAGGCCGATGGTGTTCATGGACGAACTGGCCGCGAACGCGACAGCGCGGGGTGTGCGCATAGTCCTGTATTCGGGAAATGACGACGCACTCGTGGCTCACCGTGGTACAGAAGGTGAGAGTGAAGCTTTACCGTCTGTGCGCATCTTGGGCTGACTTGAAAATGTAGTCGTCATCCAAGTGCGCACGAACCTTGCTCGATCGAATTCTCTATGAAGATAATGCTCACACCCGTGCAGAACACGACCTTTGGTGGCATCCAAGGCTTCACGAGGAAGCCGGCGACGCCGTGGTACGATGATGATGGCGAGTTCGCTGGGATCGTACACCAGGAGCGCAACTGGACATACGTCCTCGTCAAAGACGCGGGCCACCTCGTGCCATACAACAAGCCTGCTCGTGTGCGTCCTCTCCTTCTCCTCTCAGGCATTCTCGGGCATGTTCTCATGGTACATGGTATCCGCAGGGCTACGTGCTTCTTCGGGAGTTCATTCTTGGGAACAACCAGACCGGGCTAGTCACCACTGCAGCAGATGGGTCTGTCATGGTCGTCGGCGGCGAAGACCCCGCGCTCGCGAGTGATGCGCTCAAGGGGCAGCCTGGGATTTATATCGGGACTGGCTTTGGAGACGAGATCACGACGACGGGAGTGTTCACGTTTCCAGCAGAGACCGTCGCAGGTTTTGAGAGTTACCTTGCGACTGCGACTGCCACGGCGTCGAATACGTAACCCACCGTGGTACTTTCCAAATCACAAAGAGGTATGTTTAATCATCTGCTGACCACATGTTGAGGCCGCCTGGCGTAATGGCAACGCGTCTGACTACGATGTTGTAATCAGGAGATTGCAGGTTCGACCCCTGCGGTGGTCACTGTCCGGACTGAACAGAGGTTGTTTTGTACATGATTTTGTGGAAGTTTTTAGGGTATCACCAGTAATCTCCTTGACTTCATCGTAAGCTGTTCGAGACGGTGTTCCTCTCCCGGGATTCATCTGAGAAAACGTATGCTCTGATAAACATGTAGCGTACTTTCGCGTAGTACAACGTGCAATTGCTCTCTGATATGTAGACCAACGTGAGTGATTAATACTAATATCTTCTAGATCTCCACGAGCCCCAGACATGAGGGCGAAGAGGTTCCACATCTTGGTACCGGCATTGCGATCAACACCGCCACGCGCATATGCGAGACGTTGTCTGTGGCCGACGTAGTCGAGTGCTTCTCTAGCGACGATCTAGGGAAGCTCCCGCGGCTGTCCCTGCTCGAGCAACGACTCGACGAGACACGCGTTGCGGACGACGCGCGACTAGACGCGCGTGAGCTTGGAGCGTCGTCCTCAAGAACGTATTCGACGGTGACGGGCTACGAGGAAGGACAGTAGGGTTAGCTTGCAACATTGATTGATGAGGGGATTAACAGACGAACCATCAAGTCGCCCCACTTGGCCGGAGACGTCGACTCGTGCCCGTCGCCCGCGAGGCTGACCTCCCACAAGCACGGCTTCTCGGGTACGTGGCGAACGGGTCGTGGAGGGTAGTATGGCCGGACACGATTGCGGTACGAGTTGTAGGTCTTCATGATGACGAGCGTGCAGACGACGAACAGCGCGACGGCGACGAGCGCGGGGACGACCACCTTGTTGCCGTCGAAGGATCTGGAGGAGGAGCTGCTGCTGCTCTCGGAGCGTGTGTTGGGCGTGGGGTCGGGCGTGGCGTTCATGCCGTTGCCGTAGTCGTCTACTTTGCGCGGCGCGAGCGTAATGCGCGAGGGCGGGTATGCGCGCGGCTGTGGCAGGAGACAGGAGTCAGTCAGTGCGGACATACAGGATGGGGATGAGGGACGTACCTCGAGGTTATGGAGGTAGTCCGACATGTAGAGCTCCGTATCGTAGATGAATGGCATTGGTTCTGGCATGAATATCTTTGGAGAGAGGATTCCATTGTTTTTCGTAGGTGTTTCGGATGCGGGGGCGAACGTGGACAGCGTGGCGGGCGTGACTGCAAGGGTTAAGAGGGAGGAGGATGTTGGCATGCACTAGTTCTGGAGTTGAAGGTGGTAGGGGGGAAGGGTGGGGCTTATATCACGGATGGGCGACGAGATTCATATACCTGCGCATACGACGCGTCGCAGGAACGTGCTATTGGGCTGCTACTCCGGACCGCAGCTATGACTCCTACCTGTCGACCTTCTCGATCACAACCTTCGACATCGAAGTCCAGAGTCGGTTAATGCGAGCTTATTCAGCACATCGCCACAGCAGAGGATGGGCGGGATGCATTGGAACGAGGTCCGAGTGTCACGGTTTAGCGGCTTACCGAGCGCTCGCTGACACAAGTTATTATGGTGATGTGCGGATTCTGACTCGAGTCGATCGTGGCGTCATCACGGGCGCGCATATGGGTGCGGAAGCATTTGGTGGCGAGTGTGTTAGTGCTAGGGGTATTGCCCGTTGAGGTCAGGGGCCCACAGTACAAGAGCGTCGATGACTTACTAGCGTCGTTAGCGGCAGCACTATTCCGTAGGGCGGACGTTGTACGGGATTATGCGACGGTGAATGTCGGAGAGAAGCTAGAAGTCATCGTTCAAAGTTCCGGTCAACTAAGTTGGCGCTTCTGTAAATCCGACACCGGCGGGACAGTCTAGCAGTAGATGTCGCTCATGCCGCCCGCCGGACTCCGTCATCATCGCGGGAAGGTGACTGAATGTGTTCAATACAGTGCTACTATGCGCGTCGATTGAAGCCGCGTCGTCTTGCCATAATGGAAAGTTACAGGTCGTTGTGGTCAGAGGCGTTTTGGTACAATGAAGTTAGTACTTAGACGTTGCAGTGGAAGAGGAAGAACGTTGGAAGTCGAAACAGGCGCTCGGAAGTGAGTCACTGTTGATAAGCGCTCCTTGGCTTCTGCAACGTAAAACGTTCCCTGAGGCTCCAGGTTCCCTCCTCCGCGCGCATCCTCAGCACAGAACCCAAGGCAAAGCTGACGACAATCAATCACACCTCAAAAGTATCCATGTACGTTCAAACGGCTTCATGTCTCATTTCAATAAAGCCATTATGCGCATTTCTACAACTTATTAAGGGGTATCGTACTTGCCGCGGCGCGCGGGGGAGGCTTGGGATGGGATAGTCCTTCAGTACCAGCACGACCTGTGGCCCAGTGGCTGTCCCTTGTGAGTATCCTCTAGTCGACAGGGTCTGCTCACCTGGGTTCCAGGCTAATGGACCGCCCGTCGAGCGTGAATCGCCGCTGTGGTGAGGAGATCATCGCCTCCCGAGTTGACGGCGGCGCCAGCCCACTGCTATGTCGTTGTCGGTGACGTGCAACTTGGTATGGTTTGATAGTATTTCGTGGCCCAGTGAGGATCTCAAGGGCGAGTGCGAGTGCGACACGCATGTTTCAACCGCCCAACGGGCCTTCACTGCTGAGGCTGTAATTGTGAGGTCCGAGGCACTGCTGTAACATTCATCGGCTGGAAGTTTCGAGGCCTGGTGTACGGGGAGGACGTCGGTGATTGCAGGGGTTAGTACTGCTGGAAGGAGATATGGGTACACGCGGCACATCAGTGCTGTCACTGTGGTCAGCATAGGCGGCCATCTAGGATCCCGGAAGATGAAAGGTGGATAGAGTTACTGATACGGCGTCCTGTCCAGCCTGACGAACACATGTATTCCAACCTGGTGCGTGGCGGTGTCTTCTTAATCAGCTCACGAATTCATGCACTTGCAATATATGCTAGGGCACGATTCTTGTGGTACGACAACAATACCTGCTCGTCTCAGTAAGTAATTGTTATCTCCTAGGGCAATTAGGCTCCAGTCCCGAAGATGATGGGGAAACGACGAATTTGACGTTACCACCTGGACGCGCCGCTTCGGAGTCGGACTGTTGGTGCGGAAACTTGCAGGGAGCGTGACAGATTTACAGCTTTCAACTGCATATGTGTGAGAATCTGTATGTGAATGTGATACGCTCGGACACCATGTCACTCACTGGCAGATGCAGATTTCGTGTTCGCGCGCTAGGAGACACCGAACATCAGTACTGATATATACGGACGCGGGAAGGTGTGAGACAAGTTGCAGGAACCGTGGCGTCATTTGAAGAGCCCCAGGATAGAGCATTCAACCACCTGAATTGAGCCTCGCTTTTTATTCTCGACACTGCCCTTCGAGTGCTCGGAGCTAGGACCTGACGTCGGGAAGAGAAGGTGGTCTGTCGAATGTACGTGGGAACGCAACCACGATATAGTGGGGGCCCGGTGTCTCCCAGTGTTCATCCCACCTGACCGAGGCTACGTCTTCTGTGGCCGAGCCTCCATATCAGAAGCTTGAGTATGGCACTTCGGCCGTCCATGCAATGTCGCAAGACCTGTGCAATTCCGAAGGCAGATACTCAGACAGCTGCTGGACTCGCGTCTCAGTATGACCCGTAGCTGACCATATACGTACGTGTATCGCATTCGTATCGGAGGATCACTGTGTGCGGTTCACTCGGAGTGATATCGCCGTGAGCCTGGGGCGTTCCATCGGCCTTCTGTGGTACAGCCTTCTGTGGTACAATTTGTAGCAAGTATAACAGATGCTTCCGTTCGTCCCGTCAACCAACTCGTATATTGACAATTTATAGTAGATGAGAGTGGTCGTAACTAGTGCGCACCATGCCCGCTCTTGTAATCCCTCCCGTGGAACCCTCGCTAGGCGCCGCCCTCGTCGGTCAATGGCTCTCATTCTTGTGGGTAGCCCTACACTAGAGCTTTTACTCGCGAACTTGAATTCTTACCATGCACACGGTGCGCACGTCAGGTCGTATGGGATTATGCTATGCCAGGCCTATGACTATTATCGTCGGTACTGGACGCGCGATCCCTTGGATTTGAAGGGTGCGGTACGTCTTCAAGTCACTTCATTGGAGGCCCGGGTGGACGCCTCTCATATCGATTATAGGTCGTAGCTATTATGCGAGTTGTCCATATTTGTTGCAACAACGAAAGCATGACTGAGTAGTATCAACCCCATCAGTATCGTCGAGACTGTGCATAGCGGCCTTACCGCACATTTTGGGTGAGCCTATTCCATCAATTCCATTATTACTCATTGCGCGACTGAGCGCTGCTCACAGAATTATGATTTGAAGGTACTACTATCTGGTGACCTCATTTGGGCACGCGGAGGCACTGGGCGAAATTATCATGTGAGGGCTCGACTTGTCTCAGAGCCATGCATGTCTGATTGATTGGTGCATTACCATACAGCTCGTTGACTGTGCGTTTCGATGCACTTGCCCTTCAAGAACGGAGACTTACTGACTACTGTGATCTTGACAGTTGGTCATTCCGACTGTGGTCAGTCTTGTAGAGTGCGATGGTCGATCGCTATGCTCACATCCATTTCCATTTCGGTCCAGGCGGGATGCATCCTTTGCTGTCAATTGTACGTGATGTCAATCACCTCTCCTGCGTGTCTGCAGCTCTCACGTGGTTGTGGCAGCATATATGTCCGCAGGGTATACATCATCCTCCCGGATAGGTTCAAACTCCCGTTCGTCTTATCTGTTGTGAGCACACAACAACTCTTTCGTATCGCTATGACGCCGGTTGTTCACAACCCATGTAGATATTCTTCGTCATTGATGGACAAGGTGAGGACAGGGACGAGGTCTTGCTCCATGACCTTACTGAACTCTCAACACGGTCACCTAAAGGAGCTGCATTAGGTGAGAAGTCTGGGACCGGATCCGATATCTATCGGCTACTAACCTCAGTCCCATTGCGATATTACAGTATTTGCTATCAAGCTGTGGGCAACAGATACCTATATCGGCCGGAAGGATTTCTCTTACTGATCGTGCCTAGGTTCATTAACAACACG